GACCAGTAGATGTATCTTTAGATGGCTGCTCACAAGCTTTTAAGCCTCTAGACACTACTCACCAAAGTAGGATGTAGAACATTTTCTTTATAAACTATGTTATGCCAATGGAGCTAGATGTCCCCCGAGACCGTGGTCCCCAGCCCTCAGCCCAGTAAGTCGGTCTCTCTATGAGACCGAGTTTCAATGAGAAACCAGTTCTTTATAATTGGCAATTGTATGCCAATTTCTGGAATCCCTGTCAGAAAAATTCCCGAAGTCTATGTTGTTTTAATTAATTTCTTTGTTGCAGTCCTAATTTTCCTCTTAAATGTGGATGGGTTTGCCTGTCAGACCTTGGTGAGATGTAGTTCTGAAAATCCCCCACTTCAGTTTTTCAGACCCCGCACTCCCACCCTCATCTTAGATTGCTGCAAAACCAGTGGGAGGGAAGCCAAAAAAAACGCAGATCCCAAGACGCCGGAGCTTGGCAAGACGAGCAGACTGCGTATGGTGAAAGCCCCAAAAGTGCGCCTAGCTTTCTTGTGTTTTCCAAAGTGTTTGATCATAGAGTAGAGGGAAATTAAAGGGAGTTTTAAAGTATTTTCCTTCAGAATGTTTTCATTATGAATAATATTAAGAATAAGAATAATATAAATAAGAAGAGACTCTGTAATACTTTCCCCTCATTTGTTTTACACCTCACTGACTATCACAGGATTCATTTTAATCAAGCTGGCTGAGGGAAAAACTGGGAAACAGATAAGGGTAATAAATGTGCATATTCTCGTGGTTGCTTTGGCAAGAGGACTACAATACAAGTCATCTCATTCCCTGTACAGGACTGTCCACTAGAACATGCTGTTAGTCCCCACTCTTTTCAGGAACACCCTCTGATTAGACAACAGCATGTCCTCACGTCAGCATAGTGTTCCAATTCCACGAGGATTATGACTGCTAGAGAAACTGTCTGCCTGCAAAGTACATACTGTGTTGTAATATCTTGTGAATTGCTTATTTCACAAAGTTGATCATATACGGTAAAAGCAAACATTAGTGCCTTTCCGGACATGTCACTTTTAACTCTATCCGTTGCGTTGGAAAGAAGTGAGGTAGACTTGGCACAGCCAGGCCAGAGTGAACTCATGTGACCCAGCTTCTCAGAGAGAACTCGGTAGTGACCAGGCCCATTGTCCTTCAAGTGCCTCACTCTTAAATATGAATAGCTAACAAAAGATCACCAGGAAACAGAAGCAATTCACTGAGCTAGGGGAAACTTTATAAACACGCTCTAATTGACATCCTCAAAAACTAAGAGAAGAAATGGTGTCCGTGAAACAAGATCAGGGGATAATGAAGAGGACCTTTTGGAGAGTAAGAAAGAATTCTTGGTAATTAAAATATGAGAGCAGAAAGTAATAGTTTACGAGGCAGGTTGGAAGATAAAGAAAATGGAAAAAAATGTCAAAAGTTGGAAGTTGGAGAGAAAAGGTGAAAAAATTATTAGAGGCTAAGTTCAGGAGGTCTCACATCCAAAATAATGTTGCAGAAAGAAAAGAGAAAATGCAGGGGAAGGACATTCTCCCTGTGGGGAAATTCCTAAAGCTAAAGAACATCTGTTTCCAGAGAAAGGATTCACCACCAGCCTGGCACAGAAAATGACAAAAGACTCACAAGATGACATATCATGATCAAATTTAAGAACACCAAATGGAAAAAGAAAATTCTTAAAGCTTCTAAAGAGGGAAGGAAAACCACCATGAATCACACAAAGTAATAGGGATCCGAATGTCACTGGACTTCCCAAAGCAGTACTGAAAGGTAGGAAACAGTGGAACAGGGTCCTCATTTTCTGATGAACAGTATTTTCCTCATCTAAGATTACACACCCAGCCAAACTCCAGTCTGAGGTAGAATAAAGGCATTTTCAGACAATCAAGCTCTCAAACTTACCTCCCATGCATCAAAAGCAGCTGGAGGATTTGCTCCAGCAAAAGGAGGTAAACCAAGAAAGAGGAAGATTTCAGAAACAGGATACAGGGGACCTGACATAAAAGAGAGGGAGGACAATTTCTGAAATGACAGAGAAGGGAAGTTCCAGGATAACAGCCATGCTGCCAAACTGGAGCAGGGGACTGGAGAGTTCTAGAAAGGCTACCTCCTGGAAAGAAATGATAGGAAGAGATTATCTGCTGTCTTAGTCATCTAGTGCTGCTATAACAGAAATACCATGAGTGGATGGCTTTAACAAGGATCATTTTATTCTCTTGCAGTCCAGTAGGCTACAAGTCTAAATTCAGGGCATCAGCTCCAGGAGAAGGCTTTCTCTCTCTGTCGTTTCTGGAGGAAGGTGCTTGTTATCAGTCATCCTTTGGTCTGGGAGCATCTCAGCACAGGAACCTCAGGTCCAAAGGACGCACTCTGCTCCCAGCACTGCTTTCTTGGTGGTGCGAGGTTCCCATGTGTCTCTGCTCGCTCCTCTCTTTATATCTCAGAAGAGATTGGCTTAAGACACTATCCAATCTTGTATACCTCATCAGTGTACCTGCCGCTAATCCATCTCATTAGATCATAGTGATTGGATTTACAACACATAATAAGGAAATCGCATCAGATTACAAAATGGTGCACAATCACATAACACTGGGAATCATGACCTAGCCAAGTTGACAGACGTTTTTGGGAGACCCAGCTGAATCCATGACATCTACTGTATCTGAAGGTATTGAGAGAAGAATCACACCTCTATCAGAGTCGGAAGAAGAACCAGTGGTAGGTACAGAGGAAACCAAGAAAAAGGAAAAGGAGACAGTTTTATTCTAGGGAGAACAAAAAGTAAGTTGTACAAGGAAAGAAATGTAATCATGGCATAGCATGTGACTCACCAGTGAAGAATAATGTAAATACTGAATATAACTTAATAAAGAGGATAGCTTTAACTATATTGGGAGGATGAGGGGAGGAAAGGGGTGTGTGTGTGTGTGTGTGTGTGTGTGTGTGTGCAAGCGTGTGTGCACACACATAGGTATGTATAGAAAAGTAAATTCTTATTTGGAAGTTGTGGCAGAAACTGCTAGTTGCCTACCCCAGTATCCATTCTCCCTAATGCCTTAGTAACATCCAAAAACCAAAACCAAACCCATTCTTTTTTTTTTTAAATTGTACTTCAGGTGAAGGCTTACAGAACAAATAGTTTCTCATGAAACAGTAGTACACATATTGTTTTATGACATTGGTTAACAACCCCACAACATGTCAACCCTCTAACTTCTCAACCTTTTTTTTTTTTTGGTGAAAATACACATAGCCAAAGATACACCATTTCAAAAATTGCTACATGCACAGTTCAGTGACATTGACTACGCTCTTCCAACTGTGCTGTTATTCTCACTTAAGATGAAGGCTTACAGAACAAAATAGTTTCTCATTTAACAGTTACTACAAATGTTGCCCTGTGACAATGGTTAACAGTCTCACAACACATCAACAGTATCCTTACTCAACCTTGGGTTCCCTATCACCAGCTTTCTTGTCCCCTTCTGCCTTCTGGCCCTAGTCACTGGACTACTGTACCTCGTTAGTCTCATTTGGTTTTACGGGGCTGTCCACTCCCAGGCTGAATGGTGAACCTCGGAGATAACTTCACCACTGAGCTAAAAGGGTGTCTGGGGGCCATTCTCTCGGGGTTTCTTCAGTCTCCTTTAGGCCAGTAAATCTGGTCTTTTTTTTGTGAGTTAGAATTATGCTCTACATCCTTCTCCAGCTCTGTCCAGAACCCTCTGTTGTGATTCTGGTCAGAGCAGTCAGTGGTGGAGGCCGGGCACCATCTAGCTGTACTGGACTCAGTCCGGTGGAGGCCTTCGTAGCTGTGGACAATTAGTCCTTTGGACTAATCTTTTCCTTGTATCCTGTTCTCTTCATTCTCCCTTGCTCCTGAAGGGATGTAAGACCTCATCAGTATAACTTCATCATAGTGATAGAGTTTACAGCACATAAGGAGATCACATATAATCTCATCATAGTGATAGAGTTTACAACACATAAGGAAATCACATCAGATTACAATACTGGGAATCATGACCCACACATTTTTGGGGGGACATAATTCAATCTACAACAATAGTAATGGAGCTTCCCCCACCTCATGGACCATGAGAATAAAGGACACACACCAAATATGGCAGATCAGAGAGCTGGAAGGAACCTGGGACCATGATAACATTATAAAGCCATCCATCAACAATGGACTGGCCACCAATGCGTTTGCTTTGTGTGAGAGAATGAACCCTTGTATATTTAAGCCAGCATATTCAGGTCTTCGTTATATGTAGAAGAACCAGATCTTAACTGATTTGGAATTCACTAGATACTACCTAAAATTAAATATTAAGAAATAGAACTATTAGCATGTTTAGTAGTATGGAGGTAAATATCAGAAGCAACAAGTAAAAAAAAAAAAAAATTATTGAAAGTCGTTGCCTTTGGCAGTGAGAACTGGGATAAAGGCAAATGATGACTATTTTTTTCTTATAACCCTTTTAGTAATATTCGACATTTTAAATTATGTACATTTATTGCTTTAGTAAAAACTGATATTTATTTAGTTACATTTTAATTAATGCTTCATGTAAGAATCACTGCTCATTGTAAAAATTCAAACAAGACCAAAGAATAGAGAGTCAAAGTTATGCCTCCCTTCCACACTCTGGGGCTTTCCCCCGCCCGTCAAGTCCACTCTGCTCCCCAGAGATGATAGCTGTTGGGGGTCTTTCCATACTTTTTCTGTACATTCATATCATATATAAAGATGCTTCGTTCTCTTATTCTACTTATTAAAAGTGTATTTAAATTTTAAATTAAAAATAAGTACTCATGAGGGGATATTTAGTCTTGTAATGGATGTTGTTTGTTTATATTTTTAGAATCCAAGATGCAAACATGCAGCTAAAAAGACAGCAAGACGAGTGTAAGAAAGTACAGGAAGAATTGAGTCATTTGCAACAAGAGTTAAAAATTAAACAGAGACTGTCACAGATCTTCAGGTGAGGTCATCTTTAAAGAGTTGAAAATTATAAAGATTGAAAAGATACATTTAATAATAACTTTATAAACACTCAATTAATTTTAGTAATATGGTTTCTGTATCCTGTGTGGTTGAGAAAAATGGAAACAGCCCTAACTTTTTTTTTTTTTTTACCATTATCTCAGCTAAATAGTTTTACCAATACAATTTAAATCAGAAAAACACTGTTCTTACTTTGCAGTGACATTTAGAATGAAAGCACAGTAACTAACCCATTTTCTCTTGACCAGTATTTCTTAACATATCTGATACCCTGAAGGATACTCCAGTGGCACAGAAAAAATAGAATGGGGAAAGTTTCTAAAGGACAGTAATAGACTCCCTCAATTTAGAAATGTCCAACATAAAGAAAGGATATTAATTCTGCTTTTCTATAATCTTTGGAGGCTTTATAATATGTAAAGGTAAAATCCAGTGTTCTAAAGAAACTACAAAGTACATTTTACTTTCCAAAACCCAGAATTGAATATACTAAGAACCTGTACGGAAAGAACAATTCCTTTTGGAATTGAGTAACTATTAGCTCTCAGAAAAGGGAAATAAGTGAAATTACCACTGCAAATAGACACAAGTTCAGGATGACGAAAAAGTATCCGGATAAGTATTTGGAATGTTAGGATTTTTTTATCTGCTAGTTATTACCAGAAATAGTGTTTGATAAAAATAGTTCTCTGGGCTAATAATTTTTTTACACACTATCTGGTGAGAATCTGCTGACCCTCTGCCTTTTATGAATGGCTTGCACTTAACCTGATGCTCAGTAGATAATTTTTGAATGAATGAAATCTGCTTACAAACTAGATGATCATTTTTGTTGTCAGAAGTTCCCTCTGCCCTTTCCCAGAAATCTGGTATTGAACCAGCAAGATAATACCACCCAAGTGACCCCAAAGAGTTAGGACATTGATATTAGGTCTTGGCTCCTACAATAACTTTGAGCTGGGTCTGCCAAGGTGGTCCCTTCTGTTTTATTCACCAGTGCCATCATGGATGGTAGGATTATTTTGAAGGTTAAACTGGGACTAGATCAAATAATTATTGCTGCTTTAAGATATCATGAGACTATTACTATCTTCTACTTTTAGAAAACTATTAGGGTAGAAACTTTTAAAATTATATGTTATTTTGGGAATATAGTTAAAAACAAAAAGCCTCAGTTATTTATGCAATTTATTATAGAAATTAAATTTGAACTTAATTCTTTAGGTCTGTAAGGGGAACTTACTAACTTACATTATTATCGGATTTCTGGAATTTCTTAGTTCAATAGGTTTTTACCTGGTTGGTAAATGTACATCCCTATAAAGATGTTAGCAATTATTTATTAAGCTTGTATTACTGTGATAAACTACCATATAATTGTTATCACAACATCTATTTTTATTGTTTTCTAAAGAGGACTAATAAAGGCTCAAAGAAATTAGTAATTAAATTTCTAAATTTACGTATGAAAATGTAAATGAAAGGATGAAAGTTTTATTCGGAAATATAATAGCACTCCATCCTAGGTGGTATTTAATCTCCATGTAAAAAAAGTACCTTGAACTGGAAACGAGAGTCAGAGAAAGAGCGGTAAAAAATACCTGGAATTTATATAGCATTAAACTGTATTTGCAAAGCCAGTTCATATTGTTTGCCTTACCCTAACCTCTCCAGAGCCTTTCAAGAGACCTGGTTATGGAAGTTTTCTGACCTACACTGAACCATTCATTTTACCTGCCACTCCACAGCCACCCTCTTGCCTTGTGCTGTGGCTAGAGCAGCTCTAGCAAAAGCTTGGCTGTGGCCACAGTCACGGGGCTAAGTCTCTGCTGCCGCCACAAGCCCCATTATTGGAGCACACCACCAACAACTACCTCCATTCCTCACTTTGTTCCATGGGCCAGCCCAATCTCCGTTCATTTACACACCATGCACCTCTCACCTCCCACCCCAGAACTAGCTGAGGGCCAGAGGCTGGAGGGATGTGTTCAGTATCTATGCACGGGCAAAATGAAGTTCAGGGGAGTCGACACCCCATGTGGAGCAATGTTCAGCCTGTGGGAAACAGGAACTGGCAGGAAAATTCATTTTCCTTTCCCCTCATTTCTGCTTCCCTGAGATTACACTCTCCAGTCATGTGTTAGCACATGAACTTTAGCCTCCAGCTCTAGGGAAGCCACAGAAAACAAAAAAACAGTGAAAACTAGAGAGAATGTTATAATGGACTTCCACATGCTCATCACCCCGCTTTAATGATCAACAAAGAGCCGATTTTGTTTCATCTGTTGGCCCACCCACACCCCCCTCAGCCTATTAGATTTGAAGCAAATCCCATACATCATCATGTCAACTGTAAATACTTTAGAATGTACCTCTAAAATATAGACTTCTTTTTTAAAAAAAGAATCCAAGTACATCATCACGATTAGAAATAATTCACATAGTTAAAAAAAAAACAACTCATTTAATATCCAGTGAAAGTTTACACTTCGCTGATTGTCTCAGTTTGTTTGTTTAAATTGGATCCAAACAAGGTACGTACATTGCATTTGGTTGATATGTCTCTTAACTCTCTTTTAAAATACTGGTTTCTCCATATTCCTTTTTCTTTGGTTGCAATTTATTTGTTGAAAGAACTGGGTCATTTGCCCTGTGGAGTTTTTCACTCTCTAGATTTTGGTAAATGTATCCCCATAGTGTCGTTTTACATATTCCTCTGTTCCTCGAATTTTCATTATATATGTAGGTGGATCTAAGAGCTCAAATAGATTTAAGTTCAATTTTTGTCAAGAATATTTCCTAGATGGTGCTGTGTACTTCCATCATGAGGCACAAAATATCTGGTTGTCTCTCTTTTTGCACTATGAAAATCTTAGTTGACATCAGTGGGATCTATAGGATCAAGTGTTATCATCCTGACCCATCCATTATAATACTCACCATCGTCTTTTTACTTAGCGGTCTCAGTAGCCATTGATGATCATTGTCTAGATACATAATTTAGTTAGGAGTTGAAAAATGTTGATATTCTAATTTTGTTATTCCTTCTGCATCTGTTGTTGCTGTTAGATGCCAGCGAGTCAATTCCGACTCATAGCGACCCTATGTGCAACACAACGAAACACTGCCTGGTCCTGTGCCATTCTCACAGTCCTTGTTACGCTTGAGCCCATTGCTGCAGCCACTGTGTAAATCCATCTCATTGAGGGTCTTCCTCTTTTTCACTGACCCTCTATTTTACCAAGCATGATGCTCCAGGGACTGATCCCTCCTAATTACATGTCCAAAATATGTGAGACGAAGTCTTGCCATCCTCCCTTCTAAGGAGCATTCTGGCTGTACTTCTTCCGAGACAAATTTGTTTGTTCTTCAGGCAATCCATGGTTGTCTTAGTCGTCTAGTGCTGCTGTAACAGAAATACCACAAGTGGATAGCTTCAACAAAGAAATTTATTCTCTCACGGCCTAGTAGGCCAGAAGTCCAAATTCAGGGCATCAGCTCCAGGGGAAGGCTTTCTCTGTCGACTCCGGAGGAAGGTCCTTGTCATCAGTCTTCCCCTGGACAAGGAACTTCTCCACGCAGGAACCCGGGGTCCAAGGGATGTGCTCTGCTCCCGGCACTGCTTTCTTGGTGGTATGAGGTCCCCAACTCTCTGCTTGCTTCCCTTTCCTTTTATCTCTTGTAAGATAAAAGGTGGTGCAGGCCACACCCCAGGGAAATTCCCTTTACATTGGATCAGGGATGTGACTTGGGTAAGGGTGGTGGTAACATAAAATTACAATCACAAAAAGGAGGACAACCACACAATACTTGAAATATGGCCCAGCCAAATTGATACACACATTCTTAGGGGGACATAATTCAATCCATGACATGGGGGTGATGTTATCTATTCTATATATGACAAGGTTGTTTTAAGAAATAAAACTTAACATTTGTTGAACTAAATTGAACAACAGCAAAACATTTAAAGTGAGTACTGTTAAGAGCTCAGTGGCTCTATTTAATCAGTTAATTTCATGCAAAAGTAACTTGCACTAGCAAGCAACTTCCAAAATGAATGACAAACAAGTGAACAGCTTTTTGCTATGGTAGTAAAAATAAGCTTTAGCTGCTGGTTAGGGTTTCTGCTTCCTGGACAGGCGTTGGTGAATGTGGCTTAAGCCAAAGGAACAGTTAAGCAGCAAGTACTCACATAAGAACCAATATGCTAACATTGCACAGAGCACAGGACAGAATGTAACAGCATCAATGACAGAGTGTCATTAAGCTCTTTGGGAGAGAACATTTGCACCAAACGTTTCAAATAGCCCCAAAGCTTGGCTTTCCTATACTTTAATTGAATTGTGTTTCCGATACTCCTAGTAATGGACTGGAAGTTTTGATGAGTGAGAGGATAAATAAAAGGCTTGTTTTGTAAGACAGGACATTTTGGAGGAAAGATGGGCAGATAGGCTCTGAGTATATGTTATGAATGAACACATTCATGACATAAATAAATAAACAAATAAAAAAAACAAAAAAAAAAACTCTCAACAAATTAGGAGTAGAAGGAAATTTCATAAACATGATAAAGGGCATCTATGAAACGCCTATAGTTAACATCCTACTTAATGGTGAAGGATGAAATGCTTTCCTTCTATAATTGGGAACAAGGCAAGAATGTCTGCTTTCACCACTTCTGCTCAACATTTTACTGGAGATTCTAGTGAGTGTAACCAGGCAAGAAAAAGAAATTAAAGGCACACATATTGGAAAGTAAGAAGTAAAACTATTTTTATTTGCTGTCAGAGCATGGTTCTTTATGCATAAAAAGCAAGTTTAGCAAGGTTACAGGATGTCAGAAAAATATACAAAAATCAATTATAATTCATTATACTTAGAAAATATACTAACAAGTAATCCAAATATGAAATTAAGAAAAGAATTCCATTCACAATAGTGTTGAAAAGATTAGCAAATGACGTGCAAGGCCTA